TCGACGAATAGAAATTATTGAACTTTTTATTACACACCAAGATAAATTTCCTAAATTTCTATTCATGTTACAATTTCTACTCAGTGGCATAAATTGTATGTTATCTTATTGTTACTATTGTAGAAACATAAGCCAATAAGTAGAAATTGTGATGTGAACAAAAATTGGGACATTTATCTTACATAGTAAACTAAGGCTCCTAACACAATAAGAAAATTATCCTTTGCCCAATATTAAAAAGATCTCTTTTGAAATGTGTCCGAACATTAATGGGAATCATTATACATCGCTGATGCAATTAAAAGTAATATTCATCAATTGCTCGTGACTATGATCGTCGAATAACCGATATGAGAAGTAAAAATACTACTTCCAATTCTTGCGACGATATTTCACAATGTATTAACGAACGATTAATGCAACGGTGGTTGTTGCTAATTAACGTAAACTAAAAGTTAAGAAGCGTCTCTTTCGGAAAGTCCTACCAACGGACAGGAGTTTAAGTTAGCTTTAGAAAAAATATCAACGCTAGCTCAGTATCATTATTTCTCGTTGGACACGGCGGAAGCCGCGTCGACGCGGGAGGCATTCATTTGTTTACTATTACCAGTCTTATTTTCTTCGAAATGTCTTTTTCTGTGTACCTTCATGTTATCGCGCCTATTGAACTTCCGACCGCACTCCGGACAGGCGTGTTTCTTCTCGCCATGCACATGCCGATGCGCGGCCAGATGACTAGCTTGAGCGAACCTCGCGCCGCACTTTTGGCAAATGTGTTTCCTCAGCCCCTCGTGCTTCAGCAGGTGCTCGTTCAGGAATGCTTTCGATGCGTATCTATTGTTACAAACGTTGCAGACGAAAGGTTTAGGATTCGAATGCTGCAGCACGTGAGCCTTGTACTTGGACGCGACTTTAAACGTTTTGCTGCACACCTCGCAAGTGTATGTGGTTGCGTGACGCGTTTTAATATGTTCGTTCAATACCGAGAGACTCGAGTAAAGATTGTAACAAAATCGGCACCTAAAATTGCGACGATTCTTTAAATGTACGCTGGCTACGTGACTTAGCAATCTCGTCCTATAGGGAAACACTTTACCGCAGTACTCGCAAGCCAAATTCTGTGGAGGTAAATGCGACTTCATGTGAATCTGCAGTGACACTTTGTGATGGTAACTCTGGCCGCAGTCCGTGCAAGCGTAAGGCCTCACGCCTTTGTGCACGTTATCGTGTTCCATCAAATAGAACTTCGACTTGAATCTTTTTGGACATTTCGGGCATTGTATCGGCCTGGGATTCGTATGCGAGCATCGTATGTGCTTCATCACGTCTGACTTACAGACAAATTTTGCGCTACACAGGATGCACGTGTACTGCTTGATTCCGAGGTGCGTTTTTACATGAACCATGCATTTGTCTTTACGCTCGTACACTTTGCAACACAGTTTACAAGAATAGCCGTTCTGATTATTCGTAACAACGTGCTCGACGTTGTCGTCGACGCGAATTTCTTCCCCGTCGATCCGGAAGAGCTCCTCCGGGTTTTGACTCGCTTGCCACTTCTGCTCGAACTCACCAGCATCCTTCGATTTGATCGAACTTCCATTCTTCACGCTACTACTGATAATCGTGTTTATTATCCCATTTACTTCCGCGGAATTTTGATTTTGTAAAAGATCGACGATATCTTTGTCCACTAGGCAGGAACCTTGATCGGGAAATACTCGGGCTCGGACGACGGGTACGTCTTTGCTTTCATTTTTACATAATTCTACGGTGAAACTAATATCCTCGTTATCGATGCCTTGGTTCTTGGATTCTTTCACGGAGACGTCGATGTTCGGTGAATTCGACACGATACTGAGCAGTTTATTTAAGGCCGATGTTGGTATCTGTATGATATGCGGATCCTTATCACCATTTTCGTTTATCTCTATGGCAGTACTGTTGTGGCTTCTAAGCCTGTTTGCGATCGGAGTATCGTTCGTTACTTCGCTCGCTTCTGTACTTTGCCTACTTCGAAGCCATCTTGGGGTAGCTGCTTCGGAATTCTGTTCTACAGTCTGAGGATTCTCGCATTTCGCTTCGCTCGTGTGCTGTATCACAGATTCGTGATGTTTCACGGGCTCCTCGTTCTCTTTCGTTTGATTTTGACTTCTTAGAGTTCTTTGATTTTTAGTGATAGCTTTTGGAACGAGTTCAGTATGTTCTTTCACTCTTTTCTCGTTTGGAGAATTCAGATTTTTGTCTATATCGTTGTTATTATTGTTCGCCGATGTGCTTGGCGCATCTTCATTCTTTACGTCAGCCTAGATTGAGAGAGAAAGAGAAAAATAAAAGTAGAAATGGGTACCAGAGGTTTACTAAGTCTGTTAAAACAAATAAGTCAATCTGGTATTTGTGGTACATAGACAACATTGCTTCTGATGCAATGCATGATTTTAAACATCCTGTACAACGTACTTATAAGAATAATTTATTACATCTTACAGTGTGTGAAAATTTTTTTATGCACCACAATATCAGATGATACTGTCTACAGTTTGAGATATTACAAAAAAAGAGAAAAATGAGCTGTGGTAGCATCAGATGAGCGGTAGAGATGTGCATGAAACTTGAAATACGAACTTACAATCTCTGTTAAGGATGGTAGATTGTAGTGATCGCGAAACACTTGTTGGGTGCGGAGACACTCCTCTTGGAAGTCGCAAACGAATTCGAGCTTGCCCAGACATTGAACACAGATCGCCTTGGGCAGAGGATCCTTCTCATCTATCTGCGATTCAAACAAAATGCCTAAATACTAAATGCATGTCATTTTCAGTGAACTTAATTGCGAATCTGATTCTGTACAAATTTTTACAGGGATCGAGAATCTACGTAGCTTTTTCTCAAGAAATTCTTACTTCAAACCCTACCGCTCTGTTGATACACCATACTTAAAAAATTGTGTAAAATCTGGTACCCATTCTAATAGGAATAACACACTTATTTACATAAATATATAAGCAAATACAACATTTAAAATTATTTTATGAACTTCTAAAGATATATTGGGTTGCCCAGAAAGTCCGTGGCGACTTTTATAACAAATTTAAAGGCAACACATTTAAATTTTGTTATACATTTACTGATTTATTAAATTACATACATGCCATTCTGTTTCCTACTCTTTCGTGCAACTTGAAGACCATCTCTAGAAGTAGTGCAAAATATGAGTTTACGCTATTCGATTCTACGTATATATTTCTCATAGAATCAAGACAAAATTATAATGTTTAGTTTAAGGTAGATTGCCTTATTTTATTCAGGACAATCACTCGTTGGAATAAAATTGCTAAAAATTCAAAATAAAATTGCTTAAAATTCAAAATAAAATTATTACTATTTTTACTTCACGCTTTATAACACTCACATTTATAATCTCATTAAATAATGACTTTTTCTAGAGATGTCCGAAATATTACCTTTTAGAATATTAGGCATATTTTTCATTTGTTTTCAATCACTCATTCATATATTCATTGTCAGACCTAATGCTACTTACCAAAAATCGGGACGAACATCACGAACAACTCAGTACGTGTACAATTTTAAGTACAAAAATAGAAAAACATTTTCGTGCAAGCGAAACGTAGTCGAGAATTTTAAGAAAGATCGTTTATACAATAAAGAATACAATATATATTGAACGACTTATGATATATAAATTTGAGGTAGGCTTGGTTTTCATACGAAAAATTTTTTCGGCGTACAGCACGCAAGACTCAGTGCAATAATATAATACGTGTTATTAAGTCGTGATTAATTTATACATAAGCAAGACCAATCTCTCAAATTCTTAAATTTAAATTACATTTTCCTCTTAAAATTTTAAATCATTCGGAGCTTATAAATATTACGATAGAATGCAGATTTTTCTTGAAAAAAATACAAGGTATACTAAATTGAATTAGTGCGAACATTACAAAAAACGAATCTGTCAATGTATCAAGAATTAAGAAAGGGAACAAAGGGAAGAGAAAAATATTTCTTTGGACATTCGCCCTTCCGGCCATTTTTCTAACCCCCTCTTCGACGGTACTCCGGGGTCCGGACCCCATGGCGTACCTCTGATTTCGTACTCACCAGAATGTTGATTTTTTTGTGGATCTTCAAGCCCAGAAGTCTTTTAGTGCCTTCCTCGCCGAATATATCGATGTAAATACTTTCACACTGGCCGCACAATCTACAAATCTGCGCCTCTCCCTCCCCTAGCTCCATTTTTGTTTACGTTGAAGGCTGCCTGAATACGCTTTCGACTACTTGGATCGCACTGCAAATCTACCATGAAGACCGGCGCCGTCGTATTTATGTCGATCCCCGCACGCCAGCGGCCCATCAACTCGATGATAAAACGTACCTCAGACTTGATGTCGTTCCGGCGAAATAAACATAAAAGAATTAAACAAAAGACAAAACTCGAACGCTGGCGTTACTACTTGCTCGCTGGTCTAGCACGGGGATGTAGTCGCGTTCGAGTTCGAGCCAGACAAGCGAGGAACCGATGCGTTCATTCCCCCTCCAACGTATGATTCTCGACTAATCAGCAATCACCCATTTTCGAATTACTAGCGCCTCACATTCGTGATTGGCCAACACCATTACTTTCCAACAATATGTACCATTGTATTTGTATGTATGTATGTACAGCTTGCACAATGAAACTGATCTAGCTCAGGCTTGTGTTAGTTTCCCCTAGGGGACCAAAATTCAAAAAGTAGTGCGTAGGTTAAAATTGTTTTTATTTTGACGCGTCGAAATTAAGTTAAAATCCAACAATATCGATACTAGATCGAGCATCGAAAAAACAAGACGTAGACTTAAGATCTAACGATCGTAACAACGCAATTACGCATGATTACGCAGACGTGCTGTCCTTTTCTCGCAGCACGGGATTGGTCACAACGTTCCAACCTAAACTTGCTTTGAATTTCACTTGGCTTGTCTCCGCATTCGTAAACTCAGGATTCAAAAAGAACACTGGTGATTGGAAAAGATTCAAATTTTATTAACAAAAACATAATTATGGATGAATGCACTGGTTCAACTGTTCCAAAAGAAACAGACGAAAATAATAGTAATGCTCAAGCAAATCGAATTAATGCTATGATTAAAGAGGTAATGTATCCTATTTTATCATTTCAATACCCAATTATTTTAAGTTTAACAAGTCCTATATTCCTAACAACATAAAGTTAATTTTATTAGTTTCTTTTATCTTCTTCTTTTTCTAAGCTCGCAGAGTTGAGAGTCAACTACCATAAAGCTAGGAAGACTCGAAATTACTGCTGGGCACAGGAATCCACTTTGTCAGTAAATATTGCTTTGACGAAAATGAAGTGTGAGAATTTACGGAAAAGAGAAACTGATCTCAAAGTTTTGACTTCCGAGATCATAAAACAAGAAGAAATAATACAACAGGACTTGAAAAATTTAATGTCACAAAGAATGTTACGCACTTTGAAGAAACGGTAATTTCCTTTTTCAACAATCCAACTTACTCTCAAACCTTTATCAAATTCAAAAATATAATTGCTATTATATCTCAGCGATGAGTTTCAGCACATTGAAAGAGAATATCACGACAAATTTATAAACGCACGGAAAGAATA